AGGGCGAGCCGCGCCGGAGGCCGAGGGCGGCCGGACAGCTACTCCAGGGACTGGGAGAGGGCGGCTCGGAGGGGAGGCCGGGGCCGGGGCAGGGCGACAGCCGAGGGCTCCGAAGCCTCGGAGGGGAGGCCGGGGCCGGGGCAGGGCGACAGCCGAGTGCTCCGAGGACAGCGCTTTGTAGAGCAGTGTTTCAAAAGGGCCACCAAAAATAAGCGCGCTCCCGCGGTGGCCGTCCAGCCATGCTCTCCGCGGCTGCCCAACGCGCATTTCTCTGCAAACCCCTTCCCCAGGTCTGAAGGAGACCAAGAGAGACCAGGACTGGCAACGCGAGGTGGGCGCAGCCTAGGGCAGCGCAGGGCGGCTCCAGAGAGCGTTAGCGACAGGGCTGGGGTCCCAGGATGAGGGGAGACTAGGCGACGCCTTCTGCCATCTCCTTGACCTCTGGCCCTGTCTGCCTCCACCGCAGATGCGCACCAGGGCTGGCTGGCCGCCCTGCAGGACCGCAGCGTCCTGGCCCCGCTGGCCTGGGACCTGGGGCTCCTGCTGCTGTTCGTTGGACAGCACAGCCTCATGGCGACAGAGACGGTGAAGGCGTGGTCGTCCCGGTACTTCGGGGTCCTCCAGAGGTCCCTGTATGTGGCATGCACTGCGCTGGCCTTACAGGTATGACGTCCTGGGCCGCCTGGGTAGGGAGGCGGTGCGTGGGGGGTAAACCGCGGGGTGGGGAGAGCAGAGCGTGTTCAGGACGGCCCTGGGGCTCCCATGGCTCCCAGCACACAGCGCAGCCCACCAGGGAGGTGTAGTCACTGCCCCAGCACCGCCTGCTGTGGAGGAGAAGTCACCGCCCCAGCACCGCCTGTGCCTCTTACCTTTGCAGCTTCGTTCCTGCTTGAGGCGCCCTCCTTAGCTCCTCAGTCCTACCCTGCCTTCCAAACCGTGTCCCTAGGTCTGGAGAGAGGGCTTTCCAGTTTGTACTGAGAGAGAGAGAGGGAGAGAGAGGGAGAGAGAGGGGGGAAGGGAGGGAGGGAGGGAGAGAGAGAGAGAGAAAGTTGCTTCTTGGGGCTGACAGATGGTGTGGTGGTTAAGGGCACTAGACTCCCACATGGCCAACCACAGTTCCAGTCCCGGGCCTGGCAGCTCAGCTTGCTTTCTCACTTTCCTTCTCTGGTCAAATGAAAACAAACAAATAAATAAAGTGAAATAATAAAAATCACTCTTAAAATTATTTCTTTAATTTGGGGGTTGACAGGTGGCATGGTGGTTAAGGGCTCTGGACTCCCACATGGCTGACCACAGTTCGAGTCCTGGACCTGGCAGCTTGCCTTCTCACTTTCTCTCACCCTCTGTCCCTCTTTGGTCAAATTAAAATAAATAAAGTTAAAAGAATTATTTTCTTTTAACTTTATTACTGGGACCAGCAGTTGGCATAATGCCTATGTTGCTGGACTCCCACGTAGTTAACTGTGGTTCAAGTCTCAGACCTGGTGGCTTAAACTCATGCCGGGTGCATGTGCATGCGTGCCTAAGATTCTGAGAGGAGAATGGAGAAGGGATTGTGGCATGGCCATCCCCCTGGGGGGGGGGCGAATTCTCGCATTCTCTCTCTCTCTTTCCTGTGAGCATACATGCCCTATATTTCCTGTGAGCATATGTGCCCTATAGGAAAAAACCTCTAAAAACATTTTTTAAATTTATTATTTGTGTTATTATTATTTTAATTTGCTGTAGGGCACAGAGAGAGAGAAAGTGAGAAAGCAAACCACCAGGTCCAGGACTCAAACCACAGTAGGCCATGTGGGAGCCCAGCGCCTCAACTGCCACGCCACCTGCTGGCCCCTGCAGTTTGTACTTCCTCTGTCCTCTGATTGGCATCAGCTATGGTGTAGCAGGTCATCCCCAACATTCTGTGAGTCCCCAGGGTGCAGAGGGCTCCTCCTTCCATCCTCGGGACTGCAGCAGCACCCTCCAGCTGGCGAGGGATGTCGGTGTGGCTCCTGAGACGTAGGGAAGGGTTGCAGGCTGGCCCCACCTCCGCGGGGTCGGTCAGGGCTCTGGGTGCCTGGCTAGCCTGCCCTCCGCCCCCCTCAGCTGGTGATGCGGTGCTGGGAGCCCGTGCCCCGAGGCCCCGTGCTGTGGGAGGCGCGCGCCGAGCCCTGGGCCACCTGGGTGCCCCTCCTCTGCTTCGTGCTGCACGTCATCTCCTGGCTGCTGATCTTCAGCATCCTTCTGGTCTTCGACTACGCGGAGCTCATGGGCCTCAAACAGGTGGGACCAAGGAACTCTCCTCCCACGCCCTCTGCCTCACCCCTTTCCACTCCTCACTGCGCTTTCTGGCAAGACAGTCCCCTTCGCTTTCCATCCAAGGCCAGCAACCATGAGCTCCCTGGGCCTGGGGAAGGGGCATGGACCCCCGCCGGAAGTTGGTGGCCCGTCTCAGAGGGAGGTTTCCGGGTCCTGAGTTCCAGGAGGGTGGGCCTGGGGGAGGAGAGGAAAGGAGAAGCTTCTGAGCTGGGAGAGGGCGCAGCAGGCGCTGAGCTGTTCCCTCCCCCCTAGGTGTACTACCACGTGCTGGGCCTGGGCGAGCCTCTGGCCCTCAAGTCGCCCCGAGCTCTGAGACTCTTCGCCCACCTGCGCCACCCGGTGTGCGTGGAGCTGCTGGTGGTACTGTGGGTGGTGCCAACCCTGGGCACTGACCGCCTCCTCCTCGCTCTCCTCCTCACCCTCTACCTGGGCCTGGCTCACGGGCTGGACCAGCAAGACCTGCGCTACCTCCGGGCCCAGCTACAAAGAAAACTGCAGCTGCTCTCGCGGCCCCAGGATGGGGAGGCCCCGGGGGCCGAGTGACAGCGCCCCCTCTGGCTCCACGCGGCACTTCCTCTGCCCCTCCAATCAGCGTTCTCTAACTGCTGGCCCGGCTGACCCAGACCAGAGGTCCGAATCCGCGGCCAGGGGCCCAGCCCTTCCACGGCTTGAGTCTCCATTCCCTGGATCTAGCTCGCTGCCCTGCATCCCGAGTTTCAGCCACTGGGCTCCATCCAGGAAGAGGGGATGTGGGTCGCATCTGTCGCCTGTCCCCTCACGGTTTAGGGCACGACCCTCTCCGCCCTCACAGGAAGAGGTTGGGCCCGGCTCTTCCCTTCTGGCACCGTTACTGCCTCCGCATCTCAGGGATCCCGGTCTCAGCAGGGTCAGCAGGTGTGAGGGCGGTGGGCCCCTCCCGGCCCAGACTGGCCGCCCCACGCCCCACTCCCCTGGGCCCCGCCCCGCCCCGAGCCCAGGGGGCTTTCGCGCTCCTAACGCCAGTGTCTTGGGGCTCCTTGTCCCCCAGGCGCGTGTGCTGCGGGAATAAACCCAGCCTGGTTTTCTGCACATGGATGCGTCTGTCCGTGTCTCCCCGCAGCGCCGAGTTTGGGGAGGAAGGCGAGCCCCAGCCCGGGAGTGCCAAACTCGCGTCCAGTGCCACAACCCCCCTGGCGC